TGCAGGCTTTCATCTTAGCCAAATGTGGCAATAAAAAAACCCAAACCCCTGACAGGTTTGCCCTGGTATAATGGAGTCAAGTACACATGAAAGTCAGATATATCGATAAAAAAAAAAACAAACCCCTGACAGGTTTGCCCTGGTATAATGGAGTCAAGTACACATGAAAGTCAGATATATCGATAACAAGAGGTCCAGTTTTGGACACGTGCTCCATGAATGAGATCCACTTTGAAAAAACTCTCCTATTTTAATGCTGAAAGCTAAGGAAATCAGAAACTAGCAAAGTTTGTATCACAAAAGAATTCAGGAGTATAATTCACTATGGTGAAAGTCAGTCTTTATATCTCTCTACCCAAAGAAGAGAGAAGCTTGTCCTAAGAGTGTTTGCATGTCAAGTTAAAATCTGATTATATAAAGCTGCGTGTAGTTAACCCTTGAGTTACCTTTAACAAACTGGAGCAGTAAATTACAAAGTGGATGCCACTTAAATGGTTCAGCCTCTGTCTAACATCAAAGATAAAATGACAAGGGAAGATCTAGCAATGTGTCATGCATAAAAACATAAATCTCTGCAGATACCTGTCGAGAGGCTCAATTAATGACCTGTAAATAGTGTCATATGAAAATGGAAAATATATCAATATCTTTGCACCTTAAAATATAGTTATTCCCTTTGCTTCTTTTTAAAATATAGTAGGAATTCACGTGTTCTAAAAGCTCAAGTGTCTAGTGAAAGGAGCTTCAGTCGCCTGTACGTTGTGGGGATTTCTAGTGTACAAGTGATCTCTACTGGGCAGGGTCAAAGGTCCGTCTTGTTCAGTAGCCTTCCTCTGATGATGACCAAACCAGATGTGTAGGGGGAAGTGTGTGAAGTAAGGCAGATGTATAATGATAATTTCTGCTCTACTCTTAGCTCGTCCAGCCGTTTGACTTTGATTGTCCCTCTCAAATTCACAAAGCTTCAAATAAGTTTCAGTGTATGCCAAAGACTTCTTTTGTACTTCTTTAGATGTTGGCCTTTATGTGCTTGTGTTTTCTTGGTGTAGTTTTTAATAAAAATATCTGTCAGTGTGTATATTCTAGCCTGTACCTAATGTTATATGAAAACGGAATCATTGTTTCGCAGCAAGTTTTTTTTATGTTTTTTTAGTTCAATGGCAACATTGAATTATTGCTAAGAATTTTTTTAAAGCTAGAGCAGAAGCATGAAGAGGCTGTTGTGTTTTTCTTCTGTCCTTGAACTTTGCGCAAAGGGTGTGGAAAACTGGATTTGTAGGTATTTGCCACTGCATGTAATGCTGTTTCAGTTTCCTAGACATACTAAATCCTACTAGCTCATGAGTATATTTCATGCATAATTGCAGGCACGTTTTTGTTGATGCCTGATGTAGTTTCATAGATCTTTGCCTGTTTCTTTAAAAAAGAAAAAAAAAAGAAAAAAAAAAAGAAAAGAAGGAAAGAAACCAAATTACATGACCATGTTGGATAACTTTTTAGGATATTCTAAAGATATGAGAAGTGACTCTTATTTTAACAAATGCTTTTTTGTTTTGCAGTGCAGCCAAAACGAGATCATGTACTTCATGTTACTTTTCCCAAAGAGTGGAAGACTAGTGACCTTTACCAGCTTTTCAGTGCCTTTGGTGAGTGATATAATCTATCCTTCCTTATATATTTTTTTTTCTTCTTTGTCGTTAGCCAGTACCTCTGGTTTTGCTTGTTGTTCTTCATCTGTGGATGAAGACTTACTCCTAGTATAAGTAATGACGAATCACCTTTTGTAATTCTTGAATGGTGTCCTGTGGACTTTCTTTGTAATGATGTGTTGAAAATGTCTGCCCTGATGAACTGCTCTTTAGAAACCTTTTTATGTGGTGCTTGTTGAATGTCATGGACCTTTGATCCTTTTATTTACAGTCTCTTCTGGGAGGAGGTAAGAGTTTATATAGCTGGTTAAAGGGAATGGGGCTTGGTGTGAAAGGCAGATCAAAGTTTTAGGAATAAGATTCATCCTACAGTCTGCTTAAAGGCAGACGCTAACTTATGTGAGTCTAGGCAAGCAAGCAAGCTTGAAATTAGCCAATTTGATTTCAAGATTGTGAACCCCATCCAAGTCAGAAGAAACAACAAAAAAACTATCTGATAACCGGGGACTAGTAGTCCTGTTGTTTCTCTGCTAAGTATTAGTATATAATGTAAGGTCATGGAGATTAATTGACAGTGATCTCCTGATACCTAACTCTTGCAGCAGAAAACTGTGGTTATGCTTTGTGTCTCCAAATCAGAATAAGAATGATCTTTCATACAGCCCTGTGTTGGGTGTTGTTTCCAAGATTTTTATTGCAGATTGGTTTCTGGTTTCTTATTGCTGGGTAAGTAATGCTTCAAAAGAGATCTTTTGGGGTTGCAAAAATTTTAAATTATTTTTCTGTGGTTTTTGTGTTTTGTTTTGTTTTGTTTCCGAAGAGGTAACTTCTTTGCATTTCTTAAAACATTTAATGCAAAACAAAAATTATCACTCTTATTAAATTTTTTTGCATGATTTCCCAGTAATATTTGCTTGCAATACTTGCAATAAGTTATTGCAAGTAGCATATTAAATGTTACATATAATAGACATTTATGCATCTTGTCTTCCTCAAGTTCTGTAATAAGGATTTTAATGTGAATTGGTTTAAAAAAAACAAACAAGGAAGCTATTTACCAAAGTATTTATTGAGTGGGGTCACCTTCTCATTTAAAAAAATAAAATATTTGCTTTACATTACCTTAATCTTGGCAGCTCTAAGCAGAGCATGTATGACTGAATTTGTGATTTCCCTATATTTGAATTTGTGATTTCCCCCTAGCTAGTACTAGATCAGTGTACTGCAGTTGTTTCAAAGTAATAGAATCATAGAACCATTTAAGTTGGAAAAGAACTTTAAGATCATTGAGTCCAACTGTTAACCTAGTGATGGTCCAAGTCCACCACTAAACCATGTCTCTCTAAGCACCACAGCTACATGTTTTTTAAATCCCTCCAGGGATGGTGACTCCACCACTTCCCTGGGCAGCCTGTTCCAATGCTTGACAACTTTTTCAGTTAACAAATTTTTCCTAATATCCCATCTAAACTTCCCCTGGTGCAACTTAAGGCCATTTCCTCTCATCCCGTCACTTGTTATGTACCACACTTAATGACTTAAGTCAGAGTTTATAGTGTGGTAGATGGATTCAGGGCAAACCTGAGCCTAACCTCCATTGAAAGAAATGCTGTGCTATCCATAAGGACATTTAATCACCAGTGAAAGGGTGGAAGTGCCTCAGCGTACTGTCTTGTCATTCCTGTGCTTGCTGTGGGTCACCACACTAGTTTACAGAATGATACTGTTGTTCTCCTCTTCACCTAGAATTGTGACTTGGTAGTCTGTGCAGGGTCTCCGGACCTCCATAAAATTCACTGAGTTCCTTCTCACTTTTTGATCCATACTGCAGCATGATGCCAGCATGATGCTGGATAGGATTTAATATTCCTGATTGGGAAACCTAGTATATGGGAATGTAGAAAGCTACTGAGATTCTTCTAGAGTTGCTGTTACAGGGGTAAGAAACAATGGCCATTGTTTGGACATTGTTTCTATAGGCTTTTAAAGACTCAGCCATATAATTTTTCTTGTTTTATCAACTCGTCCCCTTCAGTGTTGGTGTGGAACACAAGCAGGGATCCCTACCACCAGGGGTCAGACTTAGACATCTCAAAACACTGTTCGATTTTGAAATTCACATTTCTCTCACTTCTCCAGATTTCAGAGCTGAGTGTTTTCATACCTGGATTTGCAAACTCCTAGTACTTGGGTAGTACTTATTCTATATTTTGTTTTAGGTCTTATTGCCATGGTATCTCAAAATAAACTCCCGATTATTCCTTCCGAAATTCTAGGAGTACCCATGTTTTTTCAGTTGTAGCTGGACGGAGAGACAGAGTGATGCAATGTGAGGTTGTGATTTGTCGAAAGCCTTAAAATACGGCAGTAACAGACATGAATGATCCTGATTTATTACACCAGTTAAACAAAAGTGTTTTTAAATTAAACTTTTACCTGGATTAAAAATCAGTTGTTAAACTGAATATCAACATTAATCTGACTTTATAGAAAAATTATTTTGAATTTGTTTTAGCCTTGTATGAATTGAAGAAGGATTGTAGTCTTCCATGAAGCTTCTAATGAAAGCAGTGAAACAGCTGAAGGGGCTGCAGTGTCACACTTGGGACTGTTTTACGTTTGCTGCTCTAGAAGGAGTGTTTATGATTCTGAACTCTTTCAGTACTGCATGCATACCAAGTGGACACCTGTTCATGCAAGATGTTTTTATAGTCTCATGGGTGAATGTAGTTTCACTGTACAAGCACTTGCAGTACTATGCAGTCTCTTAAAACACTTTCTTTAAATTCTGAAATTGTGTAGTTTATTTGGTCATGCTGATGTGAAACATGAAGGTATTAAAATAGTATTTGCTGAAATACAGCTTTTGTATATAGTCTTCACTTCTACTTAAATGAATGTTTTTGTTAGGCTTTAATTAAAACACATACTATAAAGTATTATAAAAACTACTACTTAAAAATTTTCCAAGTGAGCGGAGTCAGACCTGTGCATCGTATTTTGTGAGAGCAGGAGAGTCGTTTTTAAGAGGGAGGTGAATGCTGATGTAGTTCATGGAGTCATAGTAATCTTGAAGATGCATAAATTATTTTTAGAATGTAGGCAGTCCTTTTTGTGTTTAAATCTTGTTCTAGTACTCCAAGCTACTATACAGGTGAGTTTTAGGTGACTCTTAAATAAGTCTTTGAGACTCATTTACAAGTTTCATACACTATGACATCTGTTCCTGTGAACTGCTATACTGCAAACTCAGTTTACTTTTTTTTTTTTAAGAAAAGTTAACTCTTGAAAAATGTCACTTGCAAAGGTGAACAATCCAGTTTAAGGAAAATTTCTAGCACACATACTATGTACATAATATTATACTATAATATTATATATATTATTATATATATAAGTATTCTCCTGAGCTAATGTTCACATAGACGTGTGAGCTGTGGGGTTTTTTAGGGTGTGGGTTGTTTTTTGTTTGGTGTTTTTTGTGGTGTGGGTGTGTGTTTTGGTTCTTTTGTTTCTGTTTTTGCTGTTTCTTTTGTTCTTGTTTGGGGGGTGTTAAATTTTAATCCTGTTTTTCTCTGTGCATTTCTGGCCTTTCCTCCTTCTTCTCATGCCAATGTTTCCTTCAGCTGTTCTTGCTTTCTTTGTACCCTGTCTTCCTGCCAGAAAGGTGGAAACTCTGTTAACCCTTCTCAATTATTCACCAGGAAAATGTTCTTTGTGTTTAATAGATGCTTCAAGCCTTGCTGTAGACTAAAAGCTTCAGCTATTTCTGTTATCTGATGCAGTCAGGGTCCAGAAACTGTTAGCAATTCTATCATGGTGTCAATGTGGTTTTTGGTTTTTTTTTTATTGTAAGAAAATAGAATATATTAATAAACACTTTTGGTTAAATGAAAGTCTGTACAGTCCTAATAACTATCCTAGGCATTTAATTGCCACTAACAGTTGTTTAGGAAATGTATAAGAACAGAGCCAAAGTAAAACAACTTTCCTGCCTTCTAGCAATCTGTAACACAGGGACTCATGAACTGGAGGTCATGCTTGCATCTTTTATTTTGAGCCTTTCACAGCTTTCTGTAAGTCAGTCTAAAATCATTCTTTATCCCATATATATTCTTGTCATCCACAGCACTTGATGGCAGTTCCCTAACTGCAATTAAGCATTATGCAAAAAATTCTTTTGGTTTTAAAACGTCTTTATATTTTATTAGATGTCCCTTAGTTGTCTCTATGAAATAGTGAAACCCCTCTGTATGTCTTTCATATAATTTCTGTTCTCATATCTTCCCCACAGAAGTGTATAGGCATCTTCCTTAGAATTTTGGTCTGAAGGCTGAGTCCTAGTTTACTTAGTCTCTTATATGGAAGCCTTTCCATACCTTTTGTCATTGTGGTATAAAAACTCAAGGAAAATCTATTTGACTGACATAATCCATCAGTATAATTTTATCTTCTGGATTTTAATTTTGTTTGCATGTTTGTGTGTATATAGAATTTATGTATAGAAAAAAATACTTTACTTTGCACTCTCATCTCAGGAGCAACAGATCAGATTTTCATCTATTCCTATTTGGGTGAAGATGTTTTATTTCACTTGATAATTCTTTACTTGACGTTACCCTTTTTTAGCAAGGGATGTTGTTTGACAGTGTACGTAGTAGCAAATGGACAAGGGGTCATATGGGCTAACAATGGTGTTCTTCAAAGTATTGAAGACATTTGATCTATTCTAGAAGTGTAGAGAGAGAAATTGTCTGTTTTATTTCTGTAGAGCTGGTGTTCTATTATGTTGCTTTATATGGTTTATTTGTATTAGCCTTGCAGTAAGTTGGCATGTGGCTATGTTGATTGCTAAATATTCTACTTGAAGTGTAGATGCATGTGCTTCTCAGATCATTATTGCCCTTTCACCATACTTTTGAAATGCACAATATTTGCTGACTGCTAAGCAATAATGCTGAATGATCTAATTTATTAATCTTGTCTCTTAAATTTTTGTTTCTTAATAATAATGGCATGTGACATAGTCTGAAAAGAGTATCTTTTACGCGTGGAGAATTGCATAAGAGCATTTGTTGCAGTTCTCTTCAGATTGCAGCTCAGTGTCTGCTATTTTATGTTTGACTTGTTCTTAAAATTCTGTATTTAAAATATATAAACTGTGAGTATAAAGACAGCATATGTTGGAAGGTATTGAAACCCTTAATTATCTAAAATACCAAAGTCATTTAGAGTGCAGCAGCCTTTCTGCAGCAATAAATAGGTATCTGATACTGAAATGATGTGCCACCAAAAGGTTGGATTTTTATTTATTTATTTTTAATTGGTACTTAGTGAAAACATGGGCACTGAAGTCCATTTGAGTAGTAGCTGAACTCCTTCAGGAGATTTTAGTCCGTTGCTGATCCTCCTTGGTATTTTATGTGAAGGGCACAATTGCAAGATGTTCAGGAGAATTATTCTGTCTGATCTTTCTTTTGGTCTGTTCAGGGCGGTAGATATGGAAATAATTATATATATAGGAAAGGGACAGAATCTAGACAGCACTTCCACGTTGAAGAATTACAGAAGAGTATGGTCTCAGATGTCTCAAATGATTGTTTAGAAAATTTTGTAATTATTAATGCAAAAAAGGAGGACTTGATAGTCAAAGAAATACAGAGCAATAACTTGTCAGTGCACTTGGAACAGTGTTAAATTGTGCAGTAATTTCTAATATTTAAAGGAAGCTCGGTGTCACGGTCCTACCGAATGCACTACAATTTTGAGTTGCAATTGTAAATCAGCTTAGGCTTTTCCTGTGTTGTGAAATGTTAAGTGTCCTGCCAAGAGCATGTTCTCCCTACAGTAAAGACGCTTACCCATAGGCAGAAAAGATCTATGTTCTTCAAAGACTCAATTATTAAAAGTTGAATTTATTTGCCCTACAAAGTGGTTAAAGAAATTCTAATGTTTGACTTCTCAGTGTAGGCTCTTCTTAATAGTAGCCTTAGCCCTTTAGTGTAGGGAAA